CCTCATTACCTCTAAGCACCTCCCAAAGGCCCCTCCTGTTACCATCATCTTTGGGGGTGAGGATTTCAACATGAATCTGGGGTGAACACAGACATTCAGACCAAAGCAGTGTGCTTTATCTTAGAATAATCTTTCATATAAATCCTAGAATAAAGAAGCTGCCTTCTTAAAAGCTTTCACAGTGGTCATACCCACCCAAGGACCACAGTGGCCCACCGCTGCTTCCCTTTCATGTCCTACTTCCTCTGCGTAACTTTCAAGATTTCATCCTGTTTCCACCAAATGAACTTCACCATTTAAGTAGTTAAGTAGTGGAGCAGATCAATAAAATACCCCGCAGTCACTTAACTGCTGTATTTGTTATGCTCTTACACTGCTTTTCTTCCTGTCACCTTTTCATATCACATCTGCCCTTCAAAGATAAGCTTCAGTCTTATGTGTAGCTCAAAGCCTCATCCCCTCATTTTACTTTATCCTACACAAATACTTCCTTTTTTCAGGATTCTTTTTCTGTTTATTATTTATACGACTCAGTTTATTTGTTTTGTGTGCCTGTTTTTTTTTTCTTTGCAGTTAAGTCCTTTGAGACAGCTACTATAGCAGCCCTTTTTGTAGTTGCAATATGGTAGGTGTGCCATAAATAACATTTTTTTAAATTCCTTTTTTAAAGTTTTTGTTTAAATTCCAATCAGTGCCATAAATATTTTTTAAGGCTGCTGATGACATGTAGATTAGAATGAGTGGCTATTAGTTGCTTTACCAACTGATTCATAGAAAAAAAAGTGAGTTTACTAAAAGTATTATGAATAAGAGCATGTTAGGTGCATATCGAAAGCACACAAAACAAGAACAGCAACACCAGAGTCTTTTTTACACAAATATATATAAAATGCACTAGGAAAACAAAAGTACCAATTAAGAAATAGAGCATGAATATTATTTCAAAACTGGAAGAACTGGAAAAGCTATGTTACTTTTGAGGAACTTCATTCATTTATTTATTGAGAGAGAGTGAGCAGGGAAGGGGCACAGAGAGGAAGAGCGAGAGAATCCCAAGCAGGTTCCAGTGCAGAGCCCACCTTTGGGACTTGATGCCACAACCCTGGGATCATGCCTTTGCCGAAATCAAGAGTCAGACGCTCAACTGACCGAGCCACCCAGGTGCTCCATATTTAAGGAACTTTAAATTTTGATAATTCAGATCTTTTAGGATAACTGTGTTTAAATATGAATACTGGCTGAAGACAGTTGTAGCTGCCAGATTTCATGAGATTAGAGAAATACCTTTTTTTACTGTTTTTAAGTTTTTATTTTGATTCCAGTTAAAATACGGGGTTATGTTAGTTTCATGTGTACAATGTAGCAATTCACCAGTTCTACAGGTCTCCCGGTGCTCATCAAGACAAGTGCCCTTCTTAATCCCAAGCCCTAGAGAAATACCTTTTTGTGTTTTCTACAGTCCAAATGAGAGAGGTCTTGGTACGTGCATCAGTTACTAAATGCACTGTCCCCATATCAGTATTTGAATGAATTCATCCAGACCTTTGCAGGTTTCCTACAGGATTTCTCTTTCCCCAGAACCTCTAGGAGTGCCCCCCCACCTGGCTCACAGGTTTCCTGTGACAATCTGGTTTTTCTGGGTATGCTTAGACACCCTCCTAGTGTCTGCCTGCAGGGATGTGCTCTGGGGACTCACTCCTGGCCTTGCTTCCTCAGTTGCAAACCAGCATGCGGGGAAATGCTGCCCCTAGTTGAATGTTGGGGCAGAACCGCCTACTTTGGTCTCTTCTCATTTCTTTTTTTAAAAAAAAAAAAATTTTTTTTAACGTTTATTTATTTTTGAGACAGAGAGAGACAGAGCATGAACGGGGGAGGGTCACAGAGAGAGGGAGACACAGAATCTGAAACAGGCTCCAGGCTCTGAGCTGTCGGCACAGAGCCCGACGCGGGGCTCGAACCCACGGACCGTGAGATCATGACCTGAGCCAAAGTTGGATGCTTAACCGACCGAGCCACCCAGGCGCCCAGGTCTCTTCTCATTTCAATGCCTTCCCCCATCCTCCCCCACTCACTTCCCCTCCTCCACCCCCCCTTCCCTTACCTCTACGTAACCCCAGGATTCCAAGGAAAGCAGTTTAGAAGTGACCAGTACAAACAGATCCCACGTCGAGCCATAATCCCGCTGTGCAGTTTTGTTCTGCTCTGGGATGTCTGGCTCATCCTGACCATTGCTGAGAAACTTCTTTCCCCTTTTTAATAAAAACCGCTCTTTCACCTAGTATTTCTATTTTGGGGAAGACTTAACTCCATTCATCCGATGATATAGGTAGAGAACCTTGAAGTCATCCTTGGCTCTTCCCGATTTCCACTTCCGCTTTGTTAGCAAATCACCTTGCTTTTCTGCCTTCAGAGTATGCCCCACTCTGCCCGCCTGGGCAGCCTCCTTTTCTGTTTCTCTGCTAGAAACTACAGCGGCCACCTGGCCGCCTTTGTTTTCTCACTGTTTCTTCCCCGCAGCTTCATGTAGCGGTTCGGTATGCCTGCAGTATACCTGGCTCTACTGTCACATGACCCTGAGTGTGTTAATTAGCCTTTCTGGGACTCCGTTTCCCTCACAGTTAAATGAAGATCAGGATAATGATACTTTTTACCTCGTGTGGTTGTATCAGAGGAGGTCTTACACGCAAATCTCTTAGAACAGTGTGGGCAGATGGTCAGCATCTGGCAAACGTCAGCTAGTAGGTGATACTGAGGTTATTGCAGTTGCCATGTTTTATGCATCCAGAACTGAAACCGACCTTCTTGAAACATTGATCAGATATGTTTCCATTGGCTTTGTGTCCCTTTTAGAACAGTATCCGAAGTCCTTACCATGGCTTGCTGAACCCTTCCTAATTTCCCTTGCTCACTCTAGTCCAGCTGGCCTGCGATGGTTTTCCACTTGGCCCAGCCATTTCGGCCTTTGCTCTCATTTTCCGTCAGCCACAGTGCTCACCCACAGATATTTGCACAACCTGCCACTCCCTTCATTTTAGTCTCTGCTCAGATGTGAGCTCCTCAGAGAGGTCTTCCTTGATTTCTGTTCTAGAAATCATCCTGTTTTCTGTGTCCTTCAACTTTATGAAAAGATAACTACCTAACATTATATCTGTTTGTTTATTGGTTATTTATTCACTACACTAAGTTCCATAATAAATGAAAACAAGGGACTCTGTTTTGTTCATCATTGTAGCCCCTCCCTACCAAGGCCTTTCAGGTACATAGTTGATGCTCAGGGGGTGTTTGCTATGGGATGGATGGGGTGGGGTGGTGGGTGGATGAACAAAGAAAGATTTTCCCCTTTGTTCTTTGCTGAAGATATGCTCAGGTTACCAGATAGCTGGAGAGGCCTCAGTGAACTTTTTTTAAGATGAGATCACTTTAGAGAAGGCTTCAGGTTGGGTGTTTTGGTTTTGTTTTAAGTTTGTTTTATTTATTTTGTGAGAGAGAGTGTGTGCACGCACTCGCAGGGGGGGCAGAGAGAGAGAATCACAAGTAGTCTTCCCGCTATCATCATGGAGCCTGCCTGACATGGGGCTTGATCTCACAAACCATGAGATCGTGACCTGAACCGAAACCAAGAGTCAGATGCTTAACTGACCGAGTCCCGCAGGTACCCTGAATTGGTACCTTCTTATACTACTGTTCAAGGTCTGCTACACATGCCTTTCCTAGCTGCTAGTGACAAGGAAATTATTTGGGTTTATTCAATCCACTGAGCTCATGCTGTTCTGCCTGTTACTACCAACCTCAAGTCCCAAGAGAAAGCATGTAAGTCTATCTGGAATCAGAAAAAATAGAGACGTATGGAATGTTTACCAAAAATTCTGCTTCTGAAAGAGCTGTAGGTCCAGGCTGTTTATGAAAATGTGATTTTTTTTTTTTTTTTTTTTTTTTTTTTTTTTTTTAAGCCTTCAGGTTTAAAATGCTTCCTAGTCTCTCAGAGATGGAACACTGAGTTACTTATTCACTAATCAGTTGAATATGAATTTTAAAAATTAGCATTTGCCATTTATCCTTTAAATAATGATGTAACTTAATTAGTGTGTAATAACTTTATTACTAATTCATTGACATTAATACTGACCCTATTAAAAAAAAAAATACTGACCCTATTGACTTCAATCCATGAAGAGATTGGAGAAGTGAAAGATTTCGGGAATAAGTGTGACCATCTTTATTTTTGTTTTTTGCATAATTCCTGAGGTTTTTTGTTTTTAATCACTCTTTCTAATTTCAGTTGGTTACTATGTACTACGGTCGTAGAACCTATGAGTTCTTTTAGTGCTTTCTATTTTAGACCTCTCTTCACCTTCGTGTTTATTAACCCAACGGTCTTCTGAACTACATCTTGTTATAATCTGAGTGAAAAAACGACTTTCTTTCTGGTTTGAGGAGGAGTGAGTCACGTGCTAATTTTACACTTAGCCTTTTTTTTTTTTTTTTTTTAAAGTCACTGACAAATGAGTTAATGTTTGGGGTTGAACTAAATTCAGAGACAGTGTCAGATTGGGTGTTTGGCCGTCAGACAGTAATAATGTAAGTGTTCTTTGGTTGAGCTCATGGATGATAGAAGTCTCCCCTGGAGCAGAACAAAGACTCATTTGATCTTGATTATCAGTACGAATGAAGGTGAAAGTAGTTCCTGAATCCTTCTGACCTTTGGGGTTTTAAGCAAGGGCACATGGCTTGTAACAGCCAAGTGATACTCTCTGATTCTTTGATGTCAGTTCTTCCCGTCACTGTGAAGCAGATTTCCCCAGGCTTTGGATTACTCACCAACCTACCTTTGTAGTCTTTGTGTCAACGTAGAATATCTCCGCCTTTTCTTACCTACAAAATACGGTTTTTGTTTAGGAGAATGTAAGTGTAAAAGTAGTCCCAAATCAGAGATTTCTTTTATAAAATGTTTTTATTCATGTATGTATAGACTTTTAAAACCATCATCGTTATTATTACAGGCTATGGTTGCTTGTTATCCAGGCAACGGAACGGGTTATGTACGTCACGTTGATAATCCAAATGGAGATGGAAGATGTGTGACGTGTATATATTATCTTAATAAAGACTGGGATGCCAAGGTATGCAGCTTGCTTGACCGTTCTTTTTTTTTTTCTTTTTTTTTTTTTTTTTTTTTTTTTTTCTCATAGGTATTAAGACTCAGATTCCTCTTAGGTGAGACTGTCTTTCACACATGGAATAGTTTAAAATTTCTTAGATTTGTTCTAGTCTTGGGTATTAGGAGTGGATCTTTGTAAGTGAAATCTAATAATATGTCTCAAAAAGTGGATTCCCTTGTTTTCAGATATTAGAGCATTCATCCAAATGTAACATTTTGTTGTTGTTGTTTTTTCTCTTTTAAGTAAGCTCTACTCCCAACGGGGGGCTCGAACTCACGACCCCGGGATCAAGAGTCACATGCTCTACTGATGGAGCCAGCCAGGTGCCCCCCCAAATTTAACCCATACCAAAATGTATTTAATTAAAATATATACGTTTTAGTGGCTTTTATAAAAAACACTTCTGAGAACACTTGTTTTATAACGGCTTTTGAGGGAGATTATATATAAATAATTATTATGGGTTATTTCCTACTTCTTCTTGTTGCAGAGATACTGTCTGGCATTGGGTTATTGAATTGAATATTGAAGGCAGGATTCCTTCTCTCCTGATTATGGAAAAACTAGAAGTTTATCAGTGCTGACAAATCCTGTAAAACCTACTAGAATTTACAGTACATTTTCTCTTGTTTTAAATATTTATTTCCTTATATTAGCCTGAGTTTCACTTGAGTTTAAATGATTGAAACCTCAGAAGTATGTCATGCTTTGTTACTGCTGTGTAGGTTGTTTAAACTAATTTTGGGTTGATTTTTTAAAAATCTGTATTTACTTTTATTGAAGCAAAATATTCAAATAGAAAAATGAACACACTGTATATAATAGCCCTGTGGATTTTCAGAGGGAACACACCTGTATAGCCAGGGTAATTTTTTTTTAATGTTTCTTCATTTTTGAGAGAGAGAGAGAGAGAGAGAGAGAGTGTGTGTGTGTGTGAGCGTGAGCGGGGGAAGGGCAGAGAGAGAGGGAGACAGAATCTGAAGCAAGCTCCAGGCTCTGAGCTGTCAGCACTGAGTCTGACATGGGCCTCGAACTCATGACCCATGAGATCATGACCTGATTTGAAGTAGGATGCTTAACTGACTGAGCCACCCAAGTGCCCCAGTAATTTTTAAACATCAAATAACCTTTAAACACTTTCCTCCCACAAACAAACATATACACAGAAATGGAAAGCACCAAGTCTTAATTATGTAAAAACCTAGTCCTATCCTAAATCATACCCTAAAACCTAAGGCATGCTCACAGTGTTGTTCTGGTAATCTTTCTGTGTTACACTGATTTAAAGATTTTCCTCTGGTTTTGCCCAAGTTCAAAATGAAGGTAAGTTTTACTACTAAGTAGATGTTGAGGCATTACAACGTGCATGGTTTTTCTATTACAGCTTTCAAAGTTTAAAAGAAAGAAATTTGGTCATTCACCTTGAGCCCAACATACAAAACAGATTGATGTAACTTCGGTTAAAACTTAAAAAATATTTCTCCCCAATTCTGTGAATATCTTGACAGCTAGAAATATGTTTGAACAACTCCTAACTTCTGTATTTTGTTAGGTTCTTTCTAGGCTGATCTCCTTTTAATTTTGATATGACCTAGCCAAGGTCATTAATACGTAGTTTCTAAATTAGTACATAAGAAGAAAAAAGTCATTAGGATTTTTGTATATAGATCTAAAAGCTTCCATTGCAAGATTACACTGAGTATGTACAGCATGCCAGACATCATTCTGGATGCTGGAAATAGACCAGAAATAGAAATAACCCTCATGGAGCTTGGAATCTAGTGGAGGGAACAGATGAGTACATTAACAATTGCTTATGCCCAGTGCAGGATAGATTGCTGTGGGACCACGTAGGGGGCCACCTAATTCAGGGTTCAGGGAAGGTTTCCCACAGGGGGATTGGAAGCTTTAATTACCTGTTTTCAAATATTTTCAGCAGATCACCTGTGATATTCCCAGTGACTCCAGTCAAAGGGCAAGGGGAAGAAAGGATATGTTCTTGGTCACAGTCTAGAGATTCTTTAGATGTTTGCATGAGTGCCACGGGAATCCATCTGAAGAGAGCCTGAGGAAGGCAGGCCAGGGTACACAGTAGCTCAAATTTAACTTAAGGATGAGCCTGATAAACAGCTTGTCTGCAGATTCTGGGCATAGGCTCAACCTCCTTGAGGTCTTGATTAAGTATGAGTTCCTTTCAGTTTTAGAATCTACCTGCTTAGGAGTTCAGTTCTTCAAGGGTAAAGAGCTACTCAGTTGGGTGGGTTTTGCCTCACTTTAATTCCCCCCAGATTGTAAGTACCACAAGGACAGCGTCTGTGTGCACTGTTCCCTCCTCTGTCCTGAGGGCCCGGCACAGGTCCCAGAACAGTAGACACTCGGTTGGTATGGGAATAAATAGGTGAGTCCATCTGATCCCAGATAGAGAAGGATGTGTATTTGGGTGAATAGTAATTATCCTTTCTGGATGGAATCCAGTGCTGTAAGCAGCTAGCCATCAATGTGTGAGGCCCAGTCTTGCAAGGGAGAGCCCCCATTTCTAATCAAATGACCGCAGTGATGATCATAAATGAGGACACTTTCTACTGATAGGTTGAATTCCTTAAGTAAGAGCCATTAAATTTGTGACTGTCCTGTTAATTACTGTTGAACGTTAAAACACAGTAAGCCCTTTATTTGACATACTTAACCATTTATAGTAATTGAAACGGACACATTTTTAAAGAATAGGCTAATTAAGCATATCATTAGCATACCTAAATCAGAAAGGTGTAATGACTAGTTCTTAAAACTTCCAAGTGTCATGTTTAAGCCTTTTGAATTCAGAATATTCATCTGTTTCACCAAATATTTACAAAAAAGTCCCTAAAAAAATGAATTTTTCCTCATATCATTGCATGTACTTGGAATCTCAGCTCCTTTTCTTTTCTTTTTTTTTTTTTAATTTTTTTTTTCAACGTTTATTTATTTTTGGGACAGGGAGAGACAGAGCATGAATGGGGGAGGGTCAGAGAGAGAGGGAGACAGAGAATCGGAAACAGGCTCCAGGCTCTGAGCCATCAGCCCAGAGCCTGACGCGGGGCTCGAACTCACGGACCGCAAGATCGTGACCTGGCTGAAGTCGGACGCTTAACCGACTGCGCCACCCAGGCGCCCCTCAGCTCCTTTTCATACCTTGTTAATTGGAATGTATTTGTGAATAATCCAGTTAAGAATTTTGATTCTGAAATGATCTCCCCCTGCCCCCCATCAATTTAATTTTATAGTATTCTTACTCTCATACTCAAATATTTGGCTCTTTTCCTTAGGTAAGTGGAGGTATACTTCGAATTTTTCCAGAAGGCAAAGCCCAGTTTGCTGACATTGAACCCAAATTTGATAGACTGCTGTTTTTCTGGTCTGACCGTCGCAACCCTCATGAAGTACAACCAGCATATGCTACAAGGTAGTATTCCTTTTAAGAAAAATTTGGGAAAGACTGTGGTAGAAGAGGAGGGGATAGATAGGATATACCTGAAAGTTTTCTGCTATCTTCCTGTTCTCGAGTAATCTTTATCATAATGCTTCAGTCATAACTTTTAATTTGGATAATTTTATATGATTTATTCCCAGTTCAGTGCCAAGCGTTTGTGACTTTCTTTGCACAGCCACTTATGTTTAGGCTAAGAAATGGAAATACAGGCCATCTGTCTCCAGCCCTGTCTCCTTGTCTTATGCATCTCTAACTACTATCCATTCTGCAATTCTGTGATAGTCATTTGGGGGATAGAAGGATTCTACAGAGAAGGAAAAGGGCAGTTTTTTAAAAGAGAGTGAGGGAGGAAAAAGAGGGATAATGTAGAAAAATTTTACAAAACAGAAAAATCAGAAGCACTCAGAGAGTAGAAGTGAGGAGGAAAAAGTTGCCATGTGTGGGAGTTCACGTTAGCCAAGTAACTCTTCAGCTTTAATAATAAGCATCTGTGAGCCTTATTATATATTCTTTCTGCCATTTTCCTACATTGAAATGTTAAGAGTATTAAAATGGAAGATGTTGCGGACCTCATTATAAATATTTTTAGAAAAATAGCACTGTTTTTCAGATACCCACTTTTCATTACGGAAGGGACCTTGAGCATCATGGTAGTGAATTACCGGCATTCAGCGGGTAGGTGGGGGCAGAGGAGGCCTAGCCTCAGATACAACAGGAGAAGAGCGGGCTTTACCCGGTGATGCTGGCGTGGGCCAGCCCCAGTGTGGCTCCAATTCCAAAGACTTTGTTGTCATCTCTCTTTTTCCTTCTTTGCATTTTTTTTGTTTGAAGTAATCCCTATACCCAGCGACCTCCGAGGTCAACAGTTGCATGTTCTACCGACTAAGCCAGCCAGGTGCCCCTCTTTTCTTCCTTCTGAGCTGTGTTGCCTTTAGCCCTGATTCACACTGCTGGTAGCAAGCCTAGTAGTTTGTGGTAAGAGATCCTAAGAAGCCACAGATGGAAACCGGGGGGGATCCTGTCCCATCAGATGATGTGCCCGTCCTGACTCTCCCATCACTCCTGCTGGCACCCGGCGCCCGTCTCTGCTCCTGCTGCTTCTTTAAAACCCCTTTGACCTAGAAACGGCTTCATAGACCTTCCTTTTTATGGAATCTTGAGTATGGTCTGCTTGTATCATTTCTAGATAAAGAGAGAGTGGACATTTTTAGGTAGTGAATGCCGAACAGCTGTGGAGAGTAGGTGCTACAGGACGTTGGAAGAGGGAGAGAGTGGCATTAATTGGAAAAGATGGACTAGATGAGCCAGGTGTCACAGTGAAGAGAGGAGCTCAGCTGGGCCCAGAACGACCAGAAGCGCAGAGTTAATGTGAGGAGGACTCTTGAGTAGGTTGATGGGAGATCAGGGCAGAAGAATAGAATGGCGTGTGAGTTTCCAGCTGTGTTCTGGTGAGGACTACTGGCTAGAGAAGGGGTTGATCCAGATGGGAGGACTCCGATTACTAAGTAACTGAAAATTTGGGGCAATATCTGTGCACCTTTCCCATTGCCAAGGCCACTGGGAAAAATAGAAGAGGCTACATGGTTAGAAGGCTGCTGGAGCTCTGGAAGGAGCAGAATCTGGAAGTCAGGAGGCCCCATTTTGACCTCCTTGTTGTCACTCAGCAGCTGAGTGATCTGTGAACCTCACTTTGCCCAGTTGTCCAGACTCCCAGACTCTGACTCTCCTCTGCCTTTGACTCCTTCCTTGAGACGCCTACACGATTCAGTTCTCATTCAGTTCACATTCACAGGCTCTTCATTCGATCCGTGTTGCTCCCCCACCAGGGAGCCCTGGCCAGAATCTGCATGATGGTTTCACTGTTGTGTTCTAAGGAATTACCATTTATAGGGTGTTTTTACTTCCTGTGTGTGTGTGTGTGTGCACTTTGCCCATTATTGGTACCAGAAGCTGTAACTGTGCTCTGTAGTATTTGATAAACCAGAGATTCTTCCTTTATTTGTGGAATGAGCTCTTCCAATTAAGTGAAGTTTTCAGAGGAATGGAGTTCAGCTAAATAAACTTGAAATGTTAAAACAGAGTGTAATTGTTTTGGTAAAAATCCTGAGAACTCTTAGCATAATTTGAAGTCTTTCTTGATGGCTCCAGGTTATAAACTTGTAAACGTCCCTCAGTCTTTGCGGTAATTCAGCGACGTCCTCAGAAGCGGTTCAAACTGTTAGCCCTCCTCCTCTCCACAGGACCCCAGGCCTGGGTTCTGTTCTGTGGAACTTAATGCTATTGATAGTGTGCTTTTTCTGTAATGGCCAGTTCTTTTACCTTCTTATTGTCTGTTTCCGATCTACTGTGGGCTTGCAAAACAGATAATCAAGCAGGTTAAGTAGGTGGTAAGAACATCATAAAAACTCATCAACTTGGCAACATCACTGTTAGGTGCTCTTGCCCTCTGCTATACTCTTGAGCATTGAGCTTCCTGGAGAGGTGGGTTGTTATCCTCTGAGATCATTCAGTTTAGGCATTACTTTGGCATTACACGTTTTAATAGGCTGTTGGAAGAGCTTACCACTTTTTTTCTTCCCCCCGGTGTGATCATTCTTAACCCTATTCTAAATTTTCTTGTAGGTACGCAATAACTGTTTGGTATTTTGATGCAGATGAGAGAGCGCGAGCTAAAGTAAAATATCTAACAGGTAAACATTATTTGGGGCCAGGGTCTACCGCAGGGAAAGCGCCCGCAGTCAGGCGGTGCTGTCCGTGAGTGTGAGCGCAGACACAGCCTTTATTAATACCACAAAGACTTGCTCCTTATTTCTGTCAGATTCCTTAATTCCCTTAGGTAAAAGAGGACTTCTCTGAAGCTCTCTTCATTGTTATCATTAACCAACAAAATTATTCAAAGATTAGGAAAGTTTGAGGCAAGAAACCTTCAGAAAATTATTCAGACACAAGCTGAGTTTTTCTGTGATTATATCCCTTTCAATCGCAGGCTGCCAAACACTTTTGATAACTGCCATCTGGCTTCCTCTCATGCTCCTTTTAGCAGGAAGTTCATAAGTATGCTTTCCTTTTTATTTTTTACTTTTTTTTTTTTTTAAGTTTATTTATTTATTTTGAGAGAGAGAGAGAGAGAGAGAGAGAGAATCCCAAGTAGGTTCCGCACTGTTAGCGCAGAGCCCGACACGGGGCTCCAACCCACAATGAGATCATGACCTGAGCTGAAACCAAGAGCTGGATGCTTAACCAACTGAGCCATCCAGGCGCCCCAGTACCCTTTCCTTTTTAAAAGTACGTGCTCTAATGAATATGTAAAGAATCCAGGTTTTCCACATTGAATGTGAATTTGTGAAGAACATTAATACAAAGGAGATGAATTGAAATGCTGAAACCATTAAGTGAGGCGTGCTGAGTCTGTACCTGCCAGTGGTGTCCATGGACCAAACACACTTGCACCAGATCTGAAGATCCTTCGGTGTGCTGGCCTCCCCTGCCGTCCCTACCACGGACTCTCTCCCAGGAGAAGTGGGTCTTACTTTTCTAACAGATGGACCACTTCCTTCTTTAACCCTACCCTATATCTCCAAAGGCTGCTCAGTGCTCACATTACTGATTAGCTGTATTTTCATGAGCCGTCGATAATCCCACATCAACCTTTTATAAAACTATAAAATTGGGGGCGCCTGGGTGGCTCAGTTGGTTAAGTGTCTGAGTTTGGCTCAGCTCGTGATCTCATAACTTCTGAGTTCAAGCCCCGTATCAGGCTCTGTGCTGACACCTCAGAGCCGGGAATCTGCTTCGGATTCTGTGTCTCCTCCTCTCTCTCTGCCCCTCCCCTGCTCACACTCTGTCTCTCTCTCAAAGGTAAATAAAACATTAAAAAAAAATTTTTTTTAACCCTATAATTGGATGTTTGTGCTTTTAAGTTCTTATTTGTGGCAGAACCCTAGTGGTGAGCTTTCAGTGACAACACACTGCTATTTTGTAGCAATTCACGTTGCTTTTGAAGTGAAAAGGAGATAAAATCATGATCACTGTAGAGAATGGCTTTTCCTTTTGAAGGTTTACTAGTTCAGAGTAATGCATCAGTTACAACAGTGCTGCCGGTAGATTTTAAGAGTGAGAGTGTGATCGTTTTCAGGGGATGTATGTTTGCAAAGCTGAGGCATGGTGCACACTGTTAGCTCAGTGGGAAGCAGTAACAGAAGCTATCTGGTGATTAACGAATGAGTAATAATTGTTGTGTTTTTTTTTTTTGCCTTGCAGGCGAAAAAGGTGTGAGGGTTGAACTCAATAAGCCTTCTGATTCAATCAGTAAAGACGTCTTATAGAGCCTTTGATCCAGCAATACCCCCCTTCACCTACAGTAATTGTTGACACGATTTGTTAACTTGTGAATACAAATAAGTGGGATAAAGACAAATAGACAACCAGTTGGCATTTTAATAAGGAAACAGAAACAACTTCTTTGTGTTGCATCAGAAGGAAGATCTGGACTGCGTGACTTTGTACTGCATGATCGACTCCAAACCTGTGATTGCTAATGGGAAGAGTATAAGCCACCAGCTGACAATGGTATTGACATCTGGACATGAAATAAGTGCCCTCGGTAGAATTTTTTCATTCTTAATATTTTGCCAGATCTGTCATCTAGATGAGTTCATTTCATCGCTCCCTTTTTTATATAGTCAAGTTTGAATTTGAAGTAATTTTTGTATGATCAGGTACAATATATCAAAACTGAATTGAGAAAAAATTACAGTATTATTCCCCAAAATAGCATCGATCTATTTTTGTAAACTTCTTCGTACTATTAAATTTTGCCCTAAAAGACCTCTCATAATGATTGTTGCCAGTGACTGATGATTCCTTTCATTTTCTTTTTACCTAACGTAAGAAAAGGAGCACTTTACTCACCAACTAAAAAATCAGATTGTTTTGTAGTCCCGTCTTGTACACTAATTTGAACTCTTAAAAATTGCTGCTGTCGTTTTTTTGACATTGTTAATGGAACATAACAGTACAAACCATCACCATTTACTACTACAAATAACTTTCAGTTCACATTTTATAAGAAAAAATACCCAGAAGGCTTTATTTTTTAAGTTAGAATTTTTACAAGACTAAAGTGACTGGCACTAAATGAACTTGATCTGCCCTCCGCATCAAGTTCCCGAGATAAAGGGCTTTCTCACGCTTTCAGGTATATTCTGTAGATGTAGAAGGTAACGTCCCCTTCCTAAGAGCTCTCCTTCCCAGCCAGTCAGTCGTACTTCCAATTTTGCTGTTATGTTTTCCTCCTCCTGCGACCCACGTGATGTGCAGATCAGAACCTTGCTTCTGTTGGATGGCGTCGGGGCGGGGGCGGGCGGACAGAGCGCCAGGGCTGAGCCGAGGTAGCGCAGACCACTGCTGAGGCAGGTATTCCCTAGGCGTGATACTCGCCTCCTTGTCAGTACTGGAAGGTGTGTGTTTAGCTTAAAAAAACAAAAGAAGTGGAAAACCAGATGATTTTTTCTGTTTTATGAATTTTCTTTTACTTTTCAGAAGAGGGAATATTACAGTATCACACAAGGCCTCCCAGATTTCTGTTTTTTGATATATGAACTGGGATGGATACATAAGACTTCATTTTCCTGGGCGAGTCTTTAGCAGAGCCCAGAGGGTGGTATCCGTATTTAACGTGAATTAGGGTCTAGACCTTGCCCACTTCAGTTTTCTATCTCTGTCCTTAATCTTTGCCAAAATGTGTGTACAGAAATATTTCTGTATATTTCAACTTATGACAGTTTTAGTATCTGTATAGTTTGTATTCAATTAGAGACCTTTTCTATGGAAAGCTCAGTAATTTTTATTAAAAGATTGCTATTCATGTAAAACATGAAAAAAAAATCTAGTGAGACCAACAGTGTGGACTTAGGGTGGGGTTAAATATTCAGTATCGTGATCTCACTTAGAACTTGCAGGAGAAAATTAGAGCTTATGGTTGTTTTTCCTTGCCCGTGTTCAGTTTTGTTCCACTTCCTCTCTCTGTTCCAGATAATGCAATGTAACATCTTTCTAGTAAGTGCCTCTGCCAGCCGGACCTGGGAGAGCAAGCTGTCTTTGCCATCTGGTCTGCGTGCGGCACGCTGCACTCGGCCTTGACTCAGAAACGCTGTCATGTTTAGGTCTAGTGGAGACTGTTCTGTTGATGGGGGGAGGGGGGGTTGTGTGATTGTCAGGGTGGGAGCCCCTGTGTCATTCACATGTGTGTCTCTGCAGTTGTGCAAAGTGTCAGATTCTACTCTATGTGGGTTGTGCTTTCCAGGCAGGTCTTAACATTTGTACTTTTCGGAAAATTTTATCTAATTCCTTGGAAATCATTGTGAAAGGATCAAGGAATCCAGGAGAGCCATTTCTTTAATATCCATTTAAAACCTGTTCGTTTCATGTTAGCGGGACCGTTAACTTGTCACCAAACAGGACTCTGTTTAAAACAAAATTTAAAACTACTTGTGGCCTATATATGTTTAATCCTAGTTAAAGACAAAGCTTCTAATGCTGTTTTTCATTGAATACATTAACCGGCTGTAAAACACAGACCTTTATCAACAGCAGGCAAAGAATTTCAGGATTCATATACAGATAGACGGGAAAGTCATGTAATTTGAAAAGCAGTGTTCCGTTACGAAAGAGCTCTCAAGTTGCTTGTAAAGCTAATCTAATTAAAAAGATGTATAAATGTTCTTGAAAAATTATGGTTGTTATTTCCAGCTGTCTTTTTTTTTTTCTTTCGGTTTTTAAATCTTTTATCCTACACGGACAGTCTTAATGGGCCCTTCTATCAGATAATGTGCTTTTCTGTCACACATCTCTGGCTCAGTCCAGAATGTCTGGGATGATTTTTTATAAATGATAACGAGGGAAAGAGAGACAACAGTAAACACAGGAGTCTAACAATCCTAGAGACGTCCTGGGGGTGATTGGCCTGTCCATGGGATCCATGAGCTCTCCGTTTGGATTCTCAACAATTGGATTCTTGCCCTTTCGACAGAATTCTTAAAACTACCCTAACACCAGGGCTGCTGAGCATATCTGTATCACCCACTCTGCAACAAACAAGAAGGGGCATCAGGCATAGATCTATAATTGTCACAGGTGTCCTATCTATGTGTGCACAAAAGTTTACTTTGTGTGGTCATGGACTAAAATATAAGAGCTCTTGTCGTGTGAGATCAATAGACACGTTCCATTATCTCTTATCTAAGAAACTTTTAGTGTGGTGTTCTCATTTTCCAGCCTCTCTCTCGGGGCATTTGGATAACTGTACTGAAATAAAGCTGGGTGGATGAAAGGAGAGGGCAGATGAGTCTGAGACGAAGACTAATTAAATTAGGTAGTGTTGTGAAAAGAGCACAGGACTGACAAATCTCTCTTCAGTTCTGGCCCAGGAACTTAATTATGTGACCGCTGGGGACTTCTTCATCTGAAAATAAACACAGTAGCTCCGGACCTGCAGAGCTGTGTGAGACCTAATGAAGTACAGATTATTTCCCAAGGTGCACATGGCCCAAGGATGGAGAGCTCCGCTGTGGCCGTAGACTCCGATGGTCAGTATTTGTACCGTACATTTAATAATGGACTTGTAGACTGGAGTTTCTCTGTTAGTTTATAACCACGCAGGAGTAAATGCCCAGTCTCCACTACCACATCTGAAGTCAGGAATATGTTCCCCAAATTCTGCTGTTGGTTTTAATGCATATTCTTTTCCTGATCCACCAGCAAGTAAATTTCACTTGAAATAGGGCAAGTGCCCAAGGATAAACCATTGGACCAGTGATGTTCGTGAAGGGCCTGGCCTCATGAGCTGGAAAAAGTTTTGTAAGGAGAAAACAAGAAGAAACCACTTCCCAAGACAGGTGGAGCCCTAACAGCTGCCAGCAGCCAAAGCACCTTCTATCGAACGGGTGATCTTTTAACTCTGAACAAGGTGTAAAGTTTATTAGATAGGGCGTTACTGGATCAGGTCTTTTCACTGGGATTAGGACCTGTCCTGCCAAAGTTAATTACTGTTATTATCGAGTTCCATAAAATCCATCTACATTTTTTTCCCTCAGAACCAGCAGAGTAGGCCGAGCAAACCTCATCTCCGTTTAGAATTGCAACAGGATAGCGCAGTGATTGGCTCACAGTCACGGAGCTAGGAAGCGGTAGTGAGCATCGGCTTTCCTTTCCTTGTGTAACTTTTTAAAAATTATTTTTTAAGTAATCTCTGCACCCAGCGTGGGGCTCAAACTCCCAACCCCAAGATCAAAAGTGACATGCTGTACTGACTGAGCTGTCCAGGCGCCCCTGTTTTCATAGTCAAAGCTATACATGTACATGTAGCCAAGTCAACTTGTTCTGTAAGGGTTTTTAAGGAAAACAGCCCCTCCTGTTCTTCATCTGAGAATTTAACTCTTACGTGACTCTTTGGGTTTAATTAGTGGCCAGAAGAGGTCTAAGTAACATAATCCCATTGCTCCATGTTGGATCTTCAGCGTGAGACCTTATGTACTGACCGGTTCCCCACATGAAAGATAAAAATGTAGGTTCCTGTCCGGCCTCCCTCACCATCCCCGCCAAACACGTACAGCACGCCTCCATATCCCCCCATCTTCCTTTTGTAATTCTGTCGTAACCTAGATCAGGTTGATAGTCAAGACTACTGGTGATATTCAGAGCATGGTTTACACGGAGGAAATTGTGACGACTTTTCTTCCACAGTTTTTGCTTTTATCCTGATGTCCTGATTTTTCATACTTTTCCTGTGGCTTCTAGCCTGCAGCAGTCCAGAGCGGCTGTCCTCTCTGCCTGGTAGACAGCCGTCTTCCTGAGGTCTCCTTTGCCCATTGTTCTGGAGACCCCCTCCACCACTCTCTGTTGGGTCTCCTGTTTCCTGGATCCCTTATCTTCCCCTTTCTCGGCTGATTTCCTCGGTCTGGTGGAGCATGTCCTTCACATGTCTTCCTGGGAAAAAGAGTATGTGGGTGGTAAATTTCCCAAGACCAGTGTCTTTATTTTGCCCTCACGCTTCATTGGTAACTAGAATGGAGCTTACCATTCAAGTTGGGAAATCATTTTCCTTCAGCGTTTTGAAGGCATTGCCTCACTGGTTTTAGGTTCCAGTGTGGTTGCAGAGAAATCCGAGGCCGTTCCTACTCCTCACTCTTTATATGTAGCCTGCTTGTCCTCTGTGGAAGCTCCTGGAATGATTCTTCGCCCGCGGGTCTCTGTAGTGTTACAGCGTGCTTTAGCACGATCCTCTTTCTCAGCCAGTGTAGCAGGCACGCAGACTGTACCTTCACGC